CAGAAGATCATCAGGGGCTTCTGTCACCTTTATGATGGACAGGTGACACACAGATATAATCTTTACAAGCACAAGATTATCAGAGACTCTTTGAGTTCTAAACACTCACTTTTGCCAGTGTAAAATAAGCAAATGTAATATTATTCTATATTTTGATTCACATGGTTGCGAAAGTCATTTGTAATTGGTTCAAATGTTGACAACATGGTGAAGACAGAAACACTTACAGTTGCATTGTGTTCTCTAACAGGAAGCGTGTGCGGTTGGTATTGAGGCAGGTATCAATCTATCAGATCATCTAATCACAGCCTATCGTGCCCATGGGTATACTCTCACTAGAAGGGGCACCGTTCGTGAGATCATGGCAGAGCTCACTGGTGAGAACATCAAAACCTACAGTTTAAAGTTCTGATCTCTTATTTTTCTCTATTATTTATTGATTTGTTTGTTTATCTATTTGTTTATTCTATCCCTCTTCTATGCGTCTCTATTTCTTCCATCAGGTCGTAGAGGAGGCATTGCTAAAGGAAAGGGTGGGTCTATGCACATGTACACTAAACATTTTTATGGAGGAAATGGAATTGTGGGAGCTCAGGTAATTTAAATGAATTGATTAGAGTACCTTATGAATAGAGCGCAGATATCAGTACTGAATAAGTATTAAGAATAACTATTCATGTGTATCCTAGGTGCCTCTTGGGGCAGGTGTAGCTTTGGCCTGCAAATACCTGGGCAAGAACGAGCTGTGTGTCTGTCTCTATGGTGATGGTGCTGCAAATCAGGTAAGTCACTTTCACGCAGCTCCAAACAATCATGCTAGTCCTAATGAGTGATTTAGCTGCTAATTCTGCTACTAAATTTGAACAACTTGTGCGTTCTAATGAGTATGTAGAGGGAGGTTTCATGCACACTTTTGCACTGTTTCTGCAGGGTCAGATCTTTGAAACATATAATATGGCATCTCTGTGGAAGCTGCCCTGCATCTTCATTTGCGAGAATAACAAATATGGCATGGGTACTTCTGTGGAGAGAGCGGCGGCTAGTACTGACTACTACAAGAGAGGCGATTTCATCCCTGGATTGAGAGTAAGATGCAGGATGCTTTTACTTGTGTCTGAATTTACTCTTCATGTCAGGATATCTCCTCACCTGTTCTCTGGATTTGTAGGTGGATGGCATGGACGTCCTTTGTGTAAGGGAGGCCACCAAATTTGCTGCTGAACACTGCAGATCAGGAAAGGTGAGCTCTGGTTAGAGTGATGTGAAATTGTAGGGATGTAGGGATAATTGTTACTAATGATGCTCCGATTGATCGCTACCGATCACTATCGGCCGATAATCGCTTTGGGATGTTTGATC